CTTGTGCGAGGCGCATGTTGTCTTTCAGCCGATCCAGCTAGCGCGTAAATAGTTGTCCATGGGGCCGGAGGCCTTCCACATTCGATTCGGGGGCAGTCTCCATGTCCATACCATCACAGGCGCGATTCCCTAATTTTCTCAGTGATTGGGGTGACTTTGAGTGTTTTTCGCACCTCTTCATTCATGACATGGTCTAGTCTTGTCAAGCCAAAGGTCCATCACAGCATCTTCATTTCCATCGTAAGGAGTGCCTGTTCATGTTTCTTTGTCGTTGGCCAGCATTCAGTTCCATACATGGCCACTGGTCTGACCACTAAGCGGTAGACTTTGGATTTTAGGTGCAAAGGGATCTTCTTGTCGTACGGTACTCCAGTGACCTGCCGCCATTTCATCCCAGTGGCGCTGACTCGCGTCTTGGCATCTTGGAGGGTAGTGCAGTCGGAGTTGACACATGAGCCTAGGTACTTGAACTAGGTCACTTTGTTCAGTTGGACCCCACCAGCTGCAATTGTGCCATTGGTTTGATCACCGCATTCCAGGTACTCCGTCTTCTTGATATTCAGTTTCATCCCAAATCGTTCAAGGCATGTCTTCCACTCCTGTTGCTGTTCAAGGCGGTGTCGCGTTTCACTTCCTATCATAACATTGTCTCCATACAATATCGTCCATGGATGCCTCGATTGGATATCTTTGGTCACCGTATCCATGCAAAGTTTTATGAAAATGATCAAGTAATTAAAGATTTTATTTACAAAAAGAGAAAGTTTTTTATAGCTTGATAGCAAAACAAATACTCCATATAAAAAAGTAAATCTAATATTGTCTGCGTTCTTCATGACGGTTATGATGGGTGTCATCCTCTTTAGCAAAGTAACCCTACAAATTAGAACTGGCGGGAAACAGGAATGCATCATTGCATCAATGCTATTTTCTATCTTTTTATGCATGCTTCATCTCACTGAGTCAGGACTCCCTAGAGGAATCTATATCAACTACAGGACTGATAGGAAGATTTTTAACATCAACTATTTCCACGCTAAATTCAAAATGATAAGATCATCTGTAGTGGAGTTCCAGTATACTGATGATGTCCAAGTGAGCACCTCAGAAGCAGAACTCCTAGTCGTCATCTTACTCTCTGAGGCATACATTAGGATGGGTCTCACACTAAACCCCCAGAATCCAAGTTATTTTTCCAACCAGTAAATGGCATATGCACACCTTCCCCCTCTATCACAGTTAATGGTGCCACTTTGGAAAAACATTCCCAGTGTCCGAAATCTTCGCAGTCATCTCTAGTAATAGCAGCCTAAAAGATGAAGTCTAATATCTGATCTCTAGAGCCAGATTTGCCATAGCCCAATTCAAGACCAGAGTCTTTGAGGACCACATCATCACTTTTAATATAAAAAAGTTGATGTGTACAACATGGCTGTCATTACTACCCTAATATATGGAGCAGAAACATGGACAATATACAGGAAACACCTCAAGGTCCAGGGAAAATTTCAGCACCACTGCTTAATAGGAATTCTGCATTTCAGCTGGCAAGATAAGAAGCTAATAACTTGCTTTATTGAAGCAACTATCATGAAACATCAACTCCAATGGGCTGGGCATCTTGTTTGAATAGTCTGGAAGCATAGTCTGGATGGTAGGGCAAAAAACTCAGACAGTTGGAAGACACACCCTGCAGCACTTTTAAGTATTCGGTATTCAGTATTCAGTGGCTCTTCAGCCAATTTCCTTTGAGCATCTGGACCACAGCTCGTTGACCCCACCAGTGTGGGCAGCTGGCCACTTAATTTCCACACAAGATTTTCTGCCAGGGTTTTCTCCCTTAGCCTTCTTCCTTCCTGATGTCACAAGGCAGGTGGCCTGTGACATCAGGAAGGTACAAGGTAACTTCAAGCTACCACAAGGTAGCTTCACTATTGCCCTATTAGCCAGCATATTTCCAGGTGATTCCAGACTGGCCTTTATGGTAACTGTAATGGTCTGGGTGGGAAAAGTCTCCCACTTTTCATAACCTGCCCGTGGAGAGGATGAGGGGTTGGAATTTGGGAGGCTTTAAAAGGGGATTTAAAATGTTTTTTTTAAGTATAATTTGTTTAATTTCTCTCATCCAATATAATCAGGGAAAATTTATTCTCTACAACATGGACTGCTACCTACTGCTATATTCTTGCTCTTGGTGTCTATCCCCCTCCATTATCAGCACACCCAATTGATAATCAATGAAAAACAATAGTTGGTCTGCAGTTGTGCTTTTCTGTCCCTTCTTCTTGCAGTCATGTCAAGGACAAATAAAGGGTAATCCCTACAGCACAATAAATGTTAGTTATCTATTACCCAAGGTTCAGTTATAGATGTATTTTGTAAAAACTAGTAGTGTCTATGGGTCACCTACTGTAGGAAACTAAAGCTAGCTGGAGCCTTTTTGATTTAAACAATGTGTAAGTGACTGAAGATAAAGAACCCGAGAGCTTACAGGTGCCTGAACATAGGCAAATAGGGACCGTAGAAACTTCCTCACACACAATGAGCCTACAAAGGGGCACTGCCCTTTGTAGATTCTCTGGGAGGTGAGATAGACTGAGAGTTTTTTTTCACTTTCTGAGATAAGGCCTTTATTTCTACATAGACACATGATCCATGCCATCATGTAAATGTTAAGACCTATATAATGTGCTCAAGCCCAACATCTCTGCATCACACGTATTCTGACATGAGTTGCTTTGTAAATGTGTTTGAATCAGTTTTTTTTGTTGATAAAATATAGGCCTAACTAAATAACTGTTTTTCCAGAAATAGTAGAGAGAACATTTTTCAGATTACTATTTCAAAACACAGGATTTTTAAATTAATGTAAAATATTTGGTCCAGTTAGCTTATTATATATCCTGATCTATTGACATAGTTTCATATCATGGGTATTAGTTGCATTTAGCTTGGATAAAATTGGTTTAAGATACATCTGTTGAGTGCACAGAATGTCATACTAGCACTGACATCTTGAACACATATAAGAATTAATGTGTTTCAGAATAGGGAGCAAGTGTTTTCCTTGAAATATTTATGAAAAATAGGAATATACTTAACAATATACTGTATGTCTTGTGTGTAGTAAATTTTTAAAAGGTCTAATTTACAAGTAAAGACAAGGTGAAAAGCATTTTCTTGTTTCCTAGTATAAGCTATATTTTCCCCAGTCTTTTTTTCACAGAAATGAGATGTGTTTGAAAATAAATGTGCATTTCCCCCTCTCTCTAAGGGCTAATTCAGGTGGCATCATATGTAAATGTAAGTAGATGAGTGGCCTACTTTTTAAAAATAGATATTTAAATATGTTAAGATACAAAAATATAATCTTTTTATTTTGTGCTTGATAAAAATGCCCTTTATTATTTGGAATGTAAGATTGTAAGGATGGAAGTACTGGGATTTTAAGCTTTGGTGTTTTGCTAATTTTGTATAGATCATAGAAATTTTGTTTCAAGTATTTTGCTGCGATATAAATGATGAGATAAATTATGCTCTTTTAGATAAATTAAAGATGTTGAAAGTGACTGTTTAAGGAAACCTGGCTTGTTACTACAATAGTATGACTTCCATACTATGTCTGCTTGACCATTTGCCAAAATGTCCTCATATGCACATACAGTAAGACTGACCAGTTAGGAATTCAGCAACTATTTAAGAGCAGAAGCTGAGGCATTTGGTTGATTTCTAATTACCTAAGTTCTAATAAAAACGTTTAAGTGGGGTATTAAAGAAATAACAGATTGTGTTCAAATCAGCATCTGTTTCATTCTCATTTTCCAAGTTGTTCAGGAATGGCATTATTCAACCTGACAAATACCCTCAAACCACACACCAGCTTGTTAGAGCTGAAGACAACACATACGTTCTGAGGCACTTTCATGGCAAAGCCATCTGCTTTATTTTTCCACTACAATCCTGGAATTCAAAGAACAAAGCTTTAGGGCAAACTTGGTGTTATCAGTAAGGCCCCCAGTCTTTCAAGCATCTAGCCAACAGCAGCTGGTGGAAAATAGACTGAAGATCCCACAGTTAAACCCACCTGACCCAAACTTGAATGCTCAAATGTACTCTGCTACTGAGAATAACCTGTTCACAGTTAAGAAGTGACATTTTCTTTCTTTCAGTTATTGAATCCCAAGACTATGTGATTTGCCCTGAATGGAAAATTTATCTTTAGAGAAACTTTAGCGAGAATTAGAATATACCACTGGAAATATTAATCTATAAATCTTGAAGAGGTTACCTAAATGTAATGTAACTATATTTTTTAAAAACATGATAATTGTATCATGTGACATTTTAACATGTATTGTCTCCTGCCTAGTCAGCTTCAAGAATTATAAAGATAGTTAATATGCATTATGTATATTTTATTTATTTATTTTACTTCATTTTAAATCATGTTCTTTATTCTTTCAAAAAGTGCTCCTTATTTAAGTCTTAACTACATTTTTATTGTAGATTTTAAGTTAATTTGTGTTGTAGACATGGAACTTTTATCTCCTATTGTTTCATAATTTGTGTCCTCATTCTTATAATGGCAATTCTAGAATTGTTTATTCTGTTTTTTAGTTTGAATATGTCTTTGTCTCATAGTTTCCTATGCATGTATTGTAAACAGCTGCTAATAATTCTATTATTTGATTGTACTTACAAATGTCAATTTTACTCAAATCATGCATAGACAACCTCTGAAATATGAGCCTGGACCTTCAGAATACAATTATAAATCATAGCTTTCATAACAAAATGTTAAAAATGTAAAATGTGTTTCTGTATTTAATAGCAAACGTTAATACACATTAAAATTGTTTTATGTATGTATTATTATATTTTCAGTGTGTCTTTGGCATCTTATCAAACATATTTATATTTATCTGAAAGAAATAACCACTACTTAAGTACAGTTTACCTCAGTGCAAAATTAATATTGTTGTTTTTTTTTCCTTTTGCAGCACGAATTGTAAAGACAAAGCAATGGTGTGAAATGCTACCCTGTTTGGAAGGTGAAGGCTGTAATTTGTTAGTAAATAAATCAGGCTGGACTTGTACGCAACCTGGAGGCCGAGTTAAAACAACAACAGTAAGTTACACAATGTTTCCATTTGCCCGGGTCCCATACAGTATGTCCTTAATATCTCCCAGAACTAAACTTCTCCTTCTCCTCCTGTAAACAAGAGAGGTCTTTTAAAAAATAATGCATCTCTCAGCGGTAACAAACTAGTTGGGAAAAATAAATGCAATTTGGCAGATATCTGCATGAAAGCATTCCAGAACATTTACATATTTATGAGTTCATGTATACCTGGAGAGCTCCAAAATAACTTATTAAATCTTTTGTCAAAGTGTAATTGTTAACCTATTTGCTTCATGCAATGAAGCAAAGATTGTAATACCCATGTTTCTCCTAAATGGAAAACAATAGTATTAATATTAATATTTTTAAAGTGTTCATTCATACTCCTTGTCTGTTGGTGTTCTTTCACAAGGGAATTGGGACACTATTGGGAATTGGGACATTAGGTTTCAAAATGATTATTAAAGCCTAACTTGGAAATCAATATATTTAACTTTTTATGTTTGATAGTACCACATTGTGTATAACCCTCCCCCCAGCAAAAAAAAAACAAACTGAGCAGATACTCGAAATTGATTTTTAAATCAATTCTTATTTTTCCTTTCATTAATGAGCCATTAATGTCAGTAAATATGTATTTATTTTATTGTACTTTATTTGAGCATCACACTGGGTTTACTGTAGTCTGTAATTAAGAAATTATTTTTTTTTGTAATCAAAAAGTACCTTAAACATTACAAAATACATAATGAGAATTGTTCTAGTGACATCTGTTTTGCTGATGTAAAAGTATCAGAATGGTGACCACAAAATAAAATAAACTCATGGAAACTTGTTTTCTGATCACAGTGGCTTATAAAATAGTGAGATGATTTCATATTATATGTACTTTGCTAAATTAATATAAAGTTTTAGATATTTTTTTCTTTATTACTCTTTGATCCTGAATGACAATAATATTTAATGAAATCTTAAATGTTTAATTTACCAAAACATTTTATACACTTTAGTTTTCTTAAACAAAGGTGATATTGGTTTGATATCTAACAGCCCAAATCCTTTAAAGGAATTGTTCTGAAGTATGCAAATGTTTTTAAAAAAAGGAAATATTTTTTATGTATGTATAAAAAAAACATTGTCAGCCTTAAAAGAGTGAAATATGTACTGTTTATGAAGATAAAAAAGCTTCAAAGAAATAACCCATTCTGTATCACACAGTGAATTTCAGGGGTGGATTAATAAAAAATCCGGGGCTTTGTCAACAGCCAAGGCACAGATTAACTTGATTTAATAGAACACATGCTGTGATCAGTCAGGATATTTTTTAAGCACCACATTTCATTCAGTTACACAGCTATTAGGGGCTAGTTATATTTTACAACGCAACAGTAACTCCATAAATTACTATATCAAGCCGTGTGCTTTTTAAAAAGAACTTTGTTATCATACGTTATATTCCTCAGATACTGATACTTTTATGGAAGAAAGACAAGAGAAATAAATGCCCCAATGATAAAAATATCCTAAATCGTGTTAAAAAATTGACAGACTAGACAAGGTTCTTTAAACAGGTTGAACAATGTAAGCTCATTTGAAGCCATACTTGATAAAAAGGGCATTCAAGTTGTCATTAATAAAAACAGTCATCTTAATATATAATATCTAATATATAATATATAATATATAATATATAATATATAATATACTGTACATATAATATGTACAGTATATGTTTTCTGTTTTTTTCACAGAATATATCAGATTACTAGAGCTGTATTGCATTTCCTCACAATAAATCCTTATTCCTCATTCACAATTAATGAATGAATTACATTATTTCAAATAAAGGATGCTAGTAAGTTTGTCTGCAGTTGTATAAGGACTATTCAAATTCAGACACAATTCTGATATAATCACATAACATAATAATTCAGTTGCTGATTGGGTTTGCGTGTGCAGCTCAGTTCTTGAAACTTTGTGAGAAGGAAACTATGGTGAGAGAATTGCCTCTTTCTTGAAACTATTCCATTGCTTTTATGTTACTTTGTTAGTATTATTATTCTTGTATTTGAGGCTCAAATTATATTCAGGCAAGATTTGTCATCATCCTGATCATCACATCTGTTTTCTCTCTGATGAGATCTATTTCAGTGTGTTTCAGAAGTGCAAAACAAAACTGACAAAAACTGAGTCTTTCTTAAAGGACCATCATTCCAAATGGATATTTTTGTTGACATGCTTTCCTTTAGCTATATATATTCATTTAAATATAATACTATAAAAATAGAAATACTAATACAATAAGGGCATTTGATTACATTTATTTTAGATCATAGATTTACACAGAACATGTATGTAAAACACAAAATGTTTCTTTACTGAGATGAAAAAGAAACAGTGAGTTGTCACAGAGAAAAGCAAAAACGGAAAAATCTAATATTAGTTAGCTACATTTATTCACAGTTGTGATTGTGATGCACAAGTGATCTACCAGGGATCAATGTAATGTCTAAAGATCAGAAAATTTGATCTGTAGCTTTTGTATTTTTAAGGTAAAAATTGTATTAAAACTTTGGCTTTTTGCTTGAAGCTCAATATAAAACATGCAACTTACAGATACTTGAGTCAAATACAGTAAGTGCTTTTGACTGTGATCTCGAATTCCACGAATTGGGATACAATTGGCTAAGTGCCTCTGGGCACTGATAGGCTGCAGTTGAATGGGGAGTCCTTAGATTATTGCATACTAGTGAGTGCTGGGGAAGTGCCTGTGAATTTGTGATATTTATCAGTAAGAGGTGTGTCAGTCCTCTTTCTGACATGATAACACAGTTGTTTGCACTCTGGGATGGGATGCAAAAAGAAGCCCACATTTCAAAGGTCTTCATCTTTCCTGAGTTGTAGCTTTGACCGTGGATGTGAGCAAATTACTTTATTTAATGACAATTGAAAAACAGTTGGTATATAATTAAGAAATTACTGTAACTGCCGATTCAAAAAGTGTTTAAAGTCCAAATAAACTATACGACATCATATTTATGCATATTTATGTTTTATTTTTATCTGTTCTCATCTCTCAAAGCCATATTACAGATAGAACACTTGTCCAGTATTTCAGAAAAAGTGCAATAAAAAGGAAGATAATTGCTATACAATGTCTTAAAATCTTTAAATTCCATAAGCCTTATCACACTGACTGTGATCTGGTTAATATGTGCTAAATTTCATTTGTCTGATAATTGTATCATTATAAAGTTTAAATCTGACATTATTATTGTCTGTAACATAAAAGTATCAGCGGATAATGGCACTTAAATTAGAAAAAAAGTAGTTACATTACTTTATCTTCATAAGATCCTTCTACCAACTAATTTGGGGTTGGCTTTGTAGCAGAGCTACTCTTGTCAGGGCAGATTAATGAGGAGGGTGCCCCATTCCCATTCCTCATGGAATGGGCAATTTAGCATAGCCATGCGCCTAATATAGAACTGAAGATTCATAAAAACAATTCTCTTAAGATATTTGTCAAAGTTTTATCTGTTTCCTGTTCATATCAAAAACAGGAAACAGCATATTCATATTGGCAACCATCTTTAATTTCCACGTGTTTAGAAAATGAAAGAATAGTTATATACTGAATTTGCCCAATTAAGCTCCCATTGGGAAAGAAATTGGAGGAAACTCAAGGTGGGGGATGGGATTGATTCACTTGTTTAAGTTAAATGCAATATTACTGCAGGGTTTTTCAGAGACAGTGAAATTGAGTGCTACTGACAGAGAAGAAAAAGGAACTCAGATTTGCTCTTTACACTCACATTATTGCTCAAAACATCCTTTATTTACTAACATGTTTTTAATAAACATTTGTCAAGAAAGTATAGAAGACGACAAAATCATTAATAGAAAAAATGATCCCACAAATGTACCTAAGACATCCATAAAGCCTATACATGTACTCAATGGACAATAAACAACTTTATGTAACAGGGAAATAACAAAGTTCAGTGCAAATCATCTTACTTAAATATAAATATTTCAGCAGTGTTACTTAAAAAGATCCATATCACTGGTTTCGTGTAATGTTATTTTAGGTAAGGACATTTGCAAATATCACTTATCTTGGTCTGTTAAATTAGCCTGTAATTAGTTTTAATTGAGTCCCTTATTATTAATTTAGCTTATATGTTTATCTAAAGTGTGTTAAAATAGTAATAATAATTGCTTACACTTATATAGCACTTTTCTAGACACTCCACTCAAAGCGCTTTACAGGTAATGGGGACTCCCCTCCACCACCACCACCAATGTGCAGCATCCACCTGGATGATGTGACGGCAGCCATAGTGCGCCAGAACGCTCACCACACATCAGCTATCAGTGGGGAGGAGAGCAGAGTAATGTAGCTAATTCATAGAGGGGAATTATTAGGCCATGATTGGTAAGGGCCAATGGGAAATTTGGCCAGGATGCCGGGATTACACCCCTACTCTTTTCAAGAAGCGCCCTGGGATTTTTAATGACCACAGAGAGTCAGGATTACGTCTAATCCGAAGGACGGCGCCTGTTTACAGTATAGTGTCCCCATGACTATACTGGGGCATTAGGACCCACACAGACCACAGGGTGAGCACCCCCTGCTGGCTGCACTAACACCTCTTCCAGCAGCAACCTTGGTTTTACCCAGGAGGTCTCCCATCCAGGTACTGACCAGGCTCACACCTGCTTAGCTTCAGGGGGTTGCTAGTTGCTAGTTGTGAGTTGCAGGGTGATATGGCTGCTGGCCATATTATACATGTATTCATACCCAATTGTACAGATGGGTATTTTACCGAGGAAATCTGAGTGAAGTACCTTGCTTAAGGGTACAACAGCAATGCCTCACCTGGGATTTCACTCCACAATCTTTCAGTGAGTTCAGAGCACAGACTACTTGTCATTGCTACATAGACCTTTGCTGCATTTTCAGCAGAAAGCATGTATTAGGCAACAAATGCAGTGTAACTTGC